CTGTTGCACCGCAGCTCGGACGGCCGGACGGCGGCGCGGGGAGGGAGGAGGAGGAGGAGGAAGCCTCGCGGGAAGGACGCCGCACCAGGGGGCCGGGCGGGTTTCTCTCGAGGCGCCGCTTCTTTCAGTGCCACAACGTGTCCCGTCCGGGCCTGCCTGCCTGCCCCGCCCGCCATGTCCAGGAGGAGGCTGCCCGCGGACGGGACGGTCCCGGAGGGCCTCTCTGCCCGGGCACCGGGGTCGCGCGGGGCACTGGGAAGCTGCGGCAGCTTGAGCGCCAATTTGGTGCGGGGCTTAAGGGCGCGACCCGGGCTCAGTCCTGTAGCCGGGAGTTTTGCATTGGGGAGGAGGGGGCCTTTAAATAAGACAGAGCGCACCCCCCACCAAGGAAATGCCATAAATAAAATAAAAAATGGGAAGTCGGGGCCTGGGCTGGATGGGGAGCCAGGGGAACTTGGCGGTAAAGGGCGGGGGTGGGGGGCAGGCCCCGAGGTGCCCCACTGTAGGGACAGCTCTGACTGGGTTGGATTCCCCACGCCTCCACTTGCAGCTGCTGGTGTGACCTTGGGCCAGACACAAGTTCTCTCAGAGCTGTCCTCTCAGGAGCAGTTTCTGTCACAGCTCTCTCAGCCCCACCTAGGAGTTGGGTTAGCCTGTGAGGCCAGGGGGGCTCCCTGCGAGCCAAAGGAAACGGGGTGGCTTTCCTGAGCCACTGCTCACCACTTCAGATACCGAAAGCCAGGGGTCATTTGTAGAAAAAGAGGTGCAGGAGCTCATTAGCATAACTCATTTGCATATGCCACACACCCTGACATCACCGGAAGTGTGTCAGAAGGCAACGCCCACTGCTCAGGCCCCACAGGACTGTTTTAGATTGCTAGCTATTGGGGGCAGGGAAGGAACGTGCCTATCTGTCCTCGCAGAGGAGGGAGAGCTTGTGCCTGAATAAAAGTTGGTCTTAAAGGTGCCACTGGACTGTTTTGGATTGCTAGCTATGGGGGTGGGAACATGCAGATCTGCCCTCACAGAGGAGGGAGAGCCTGTACCT